GAAACGTCGTTGCTCAGTTTTTTCGCTAATCTTTATTGTTAACTGTATTTCCAAATTTAATCTTATAAGGATCTTAGAAAAGCCGCGAAAATAGAAAAAAAAATTGAAATTTCGTGCTATAAGGTGTCTCTTGCGTTTTCATTTTTGATTCAGAATTTGCAGACATTTTATTATTAATAATGATTTCGATTTTCGGTAATTATGAAAAATATGGTATGAATCGAATTAATCTGAGGCAGCGCGGCTGTATGTATTTGCTCAAAGGATCTCCAACAAGCTGAAATACAGTTTACATTCAAAAACTTTAAAATTAAATGGACGCAGCCATTCTATTAATCGTTTAACCCATTGATACTCACGTTACATCGCTGTTTCGCTTGCAGGGGTAAAGTGAAAAGACGCCGTTGAAAACACAACAAGGTAAGCTTGATAGAAAAAGACTGTCTGTACACTGGCCTGGCAGCGTAGGTGCATTGATACACAGTGGTGATCTTGAAATTACTCAGCAAATTTCACATGAAAATTTTACATAAATCCGAGTAAATTTACAGTATGCCGGCACAAGTCTCCTTCACACGAAAAAAGAATCGCAAAAATTGAAGAAATTTCATACTGTGGAACCCCGTAAATACGGTCACCAACGGGCCATAGTAACAAGGTAAGTCAAATTTCTTGACTGGTCTGAATTGAGTGACGTCGCAACAGAAATGTCACAGTTGTACTTTTAAACAACTGTTCTTAAATCCTGAATGGATATATAATTTTTTTTTAAAACAAATAAACTTCAATCAGTACATAAAATATTAACTAAGTAGGAAAGATGAACATAACTGGTTTGAGTAGCCGTGTAAACGGGGTAAAATTATAAAGAATCATACAGGTTGGGATTTCAGAATGTGGCTGTTGGCCGTGTTAACGGGGTGGCCAAATTAACGGGTTTTTTTTTATCCAAAAATCCACGGGCGTTTCGCCGGGATAAGAAAAGGTGGTCGCAATAACGAGGTGACCATAAGGCAGGGTTCTACTAAACTTTGTTGACGGGACGCCGTAGTAAAGAAAAATAAAAACATGGCGAAATATGCAGTCCCGTTAACTCCGACACAGCTACGCAACAATCGAGACAGCGTCTTAAGCACATAGCTTTGTACATCAAATCAAAACCTTAAATTTTAATTAGGTAAATTTCGCTCGCTACACTAAACATGTCTATAAGATTTTTAGGCCGTCTTGAAACCAGGTTGTCCATCACTTTTTGGTGATTTTCGCGATCCTCGCCTAGCGATCTGAAACTCCGTCCTGTCCGATGTAAATCGATTTTCACACTTTTACCGTTACAAATGGAGTACAGAAATGTAAGATTTGTATTTGGTACGTTTTTGTATTGTTTTGCTTGTTCTGTTGAATATTATTGGGTAACAATACTTTCCTAACCCTAGTACATGTACAGTTCATTGCAATTTCATAGTTTGCCCGAGTTGTTCTTATCATTTAGTAAAGGGGTGCTCCAAAACCCAGAAAGGTTCCTGAGACTTCCCTCTCAATATTCTGATGAGTGACATATTGTCAATTAAAAATGATTTTGCACTTGTGAGTAGTAAATAAATAATATATCCAAAAAATAATCCTGACAAAATTGAACTGACCGTCAACCCATACGTGAGTCATAAACAAACATAATCTTGCTCAAGTCAAGCTATGGTACTAAATGTCTGACACTGTGTTACTTAAAAGTAACATTTATTCCTTCATTTCAAAGAGCGAAACCTGTATCAGTTTGCAATGATGATCGATTGTGCTACAAACCGGAGCGCCTGGGATTATTATGATTATGGTTGCTGGTGTGGATATGGAGGATCAGGAACTCCTGTGGATGAAACTGACAGGTATTTAATAATACGTAAATATGCAAACTCTGCCAGGTTATGCAAGCGTTTTCTTGTTGGGAATGTCTGCATTAAACAGTGCCTATGTGTAAGATTCGAAGAGCATCAGCAATTTCGTTCCTAGTCTTTCCGTCTGAGCCTGAGTCTGAGTCAGAGATTGAGAGCTCCACCCGACTCTATACTCATCTTGGAAAGCTTTATTTCGTTTTCAAGCTCTGCATGCAATTCTTTCTTTATGTGTTTCATACTTTTCCCCAAAACAAAATTGCGGAGCAAGCGTAAATTATAAGTCTGTTACGTCTTTCGTTATGTAAATTTGCCTTTTCGTTAGCAGAATTGGTAGGTCAGAACATTGAAGTTATTAAAGCAATCTCTCCACTAGGCGATGAAATAATATATACTTCTCACCTTTCTCGCGGTGTTTCTATTTTATGATGAATCGATATTGTGCGAAGAGATCATTTACTGTTCACTAAAGCTTGATTCGCGCTTGTGAGATAAGCATAACACAAGTGAAATAAGCATAAGCGCAAGCACGAGAAAAAAGGAACATGTTTCTTTTTCTTGTGCTTATGCTTGTGCTTATTTCACTTGTGTTATGCTTATCTCACAAGTGTGAACCAGGCTTCAGGGAATGAATTATTAAATGGTTTGTCCTTATTTGTATCGCAGGTGTTGCTATACACATGATTATTGTTACGACTATTTGGTTACAAACAATATCTGTTCTAATTGGTGGATGCCATATTCTGCTACTTACCTTTACACTGGGTGTAATAAATGTGGTAAGAAACTGTCCTACAGATCAAATCGATGTTTTGTGTTGTCTTAACCTTTTACGCCAGTCTACATCATGATTTAGTTCCGGAAGGAAAGCACCTTGGAAGTTCGAGTCCAATCAATCGGGCCAAATAGATAATACGACTCTCACTAGACTCACTAGCTTAAAAAGAACAAAAACTGAAACAAACAACTGCAATTCAATTCATTCAAAGTACTTTACCTTTAAGGCGCCTTGAACTAATGGTAAGTGCCCTGGATTCCAGATCGAACGGTCCGGGTTCGAGCCCTGTCGTGGTCATTTTACTGTGTTTAAGTTGGGTAAAACAGCAATCTTCCACAGTGCCTCTCTTCATTCAAGTGAAAAAAAAAAAATGCTTACGGGCGAGCTGTATGCATGCTGGATGCAACCCTGTGATGGATTAGCATCCATTAGAAATCGGACTCCTAGTCGCTTCATGTTACGGAAACTGGACATAGACGCCGTCCCTGCCTGATGACCACTTGGCTGGAACGCAGATCAAGACCATAACTTTGTTTAAGACTTGGACCGTGACTAATGACTGATTCATGTTCATGTTGTGAACGCAACAAGTTATAAAGATAGCCTGTGCCCACTTATAGTTCTTGTTACACAGCTTTCATCACTTACTCTCAACCATCGTCATACACTTTACATCCACGCATAAGAAACCAGTGGATCCCAGGAACGTACAGGCTGAAATTTTGAAATTAGACGAACCCATTCAGCCTGAAATTTGAAACAGATTCTCATTTGTAAGATCAGCGCAATTCAATTCTTACTTGATGTATTGAGTTGCCTTTAAATCTCTGAATAAAATAAGAACCTAACTAAGAACCTAAACAGCGTTGTTCCAACCAAACACCCGATATATAAGAACCTATTCAGGTTGACCTGTACTGAAAAATGTAGGTTCTTATACGTGGCTCTTCACTTATGCAAGAATGGTGGCAGTTTTACTATTTTATAGCTGAAGCTCATACAACAGGAAGTTGAAGAACAGGAAACTTTAAAATTGTAGTGCCCTGGAAAAAGAGAGAGTTATTTAAGGTAGTACTTGCCCTGCATTTATCTATTTGTTTGTTTAATTACAATCTTAGAACCCGAATCCAGCTATCCGCCTGATGACCCGGATGCCGCTTGCAAGAGAGCTCTTTGTGAATACGACAGCAAAGCTGCAGAATATTTCGCTAAAGAAAGCTTCGACGCAGCATATATCGACTACGACACTTCAAAATGTTGACTTGAATTCCGACATAAGATATAACACATGCGATAAAAAGCAAAATGAAATGAAAGAAAATAAATTTTCTTTCAAAACACTGTGAAGTCTGCTATTCTTCAAAAATAAAAGTCAGCCCAAATATAAACCAACCAAGGTTACCGCGATCAAATTGCTTTTATGTGTTCAAGCTGTAGTCAAAATGCTGTCACAGGGTTTAATTTTCGACCAATATTTTAAAAGATCAATGTAGTCTGCAAACTGTGTCTACTTTACATTTAAATTCTTAGTACTTAATTAAAAAAAAGAACAAAGACAAACAAATAACGAAACAAACATTAAAGGAGAATCTCTTTCGCTGAGCTAGACCAATATGATTTCAGTCCGGTTCAATTTTTCAGTTGTACAAATATAAAAATCCTTCAGGCATAAAGTGATATGATAAGAATGCAATTTGGGTGAGATCTGGAAACCTCTCAATCTGGGTCAGGTTTTGTACATCCTGGTGATCGTTTTGGCGATAGTCAACAATTGTACTGAGCGATGAAACTCGGCAAGTTTCGGTTGGGAAATGAACTCAGCCTACGTTCAAGTTTTTCTCCATAGAGAAAAAGGGAATGTGAAAAATATATGAAAAATAAAATGAAATTAAAGAACCCTCGTGAACGAAAGATTCAGCAAAAGTCTCAATAAACAAAGTACGAAATATATGTACGTCAGGAGGCTGGGTAAATAATTTTATATGGTTTTCATCTAAGATGACAAAAAAAAAAAGAAAAAAGAAATCAATAAAGTACTCTCTAGAGTCACCCCAAAAAGAAGAAATACTGGAAGAAATTGGTATTATAGAGCTTATCAACAACATATAAATCTAAGGTGATTATGTATTTCTGTTAGGAGCTTTTGATTACAGTTAGAATGCCTACGATGATGTCTTTAGAAAAAGTAGAAACGTGAGCAGATTTTTACTCATTAAACTAGTATTCTTTCATGATCAAAGAGATATATCATTTGCGTCTCTCCAAAACAGAGAGGTAAATAAACCAGAGATTGGTACTCAGACAGAAATGGATCTATATAAAAAAAGGAAAACTGTTAAAAGTAAATGCTCTTTTGTAAACAAAAGTATGCGGAAGGTTTGTTTTACTTGTCAAAGTGACAAAGTGTTAATTTGAAAGTAACAGTTTAGTTTAAACTGTATGACAGGTGTTATAACGGCTTTTAAGTTCTGCGTATGTCCAGTTTCCATATGAAAATCACAGATGAAAAAGTTTTGTCTCAAGCATGTGGTCAGACGTGATTCATCCCTTATCTGCCTGGTTGTAGTTAGTTCTGTCTATAACTGAGCCATAAGCAGGTCTGTTGTTCTTGAACAAAGATACCCAAGATACTCTCACTACAATTACTGTATGTTACACTGGCCATTGTAGCTTGTGTGGTTCTTTGTATTCCACTCCAAAATAAGGTAAGGACAGTGCTTGAAGTTTTATGATCATACTCAGGCGGTAACTTTACTAGAAGTTACTAGTAGCGACAGTTTCGGTTTGTATGGGTTAGATCTCTGTCAATGACGTTTTCAAAATGAAACTAATTAACAACTTTTTATTTAGGCGTCGAATGAATTGCTCAATCATATAGAAAACGTAATTTTATCTCCGATACTTCCACCTCTCATCTGTTAAGTTAAAAGGTACATTCAATTCCCGAAGAAGGCTAGTAAAAACGTTCCAAAACGTCGATTTTGAAATCAATTTTAACCTCGGAAAGAATCCCGAAAAACAAAGAGCGACCGTTTTAATAAGAAAAAGTTATGTTGTGTATTTGTTTTGTTTTGTTTCGTTTTGTTTTTTTTGTTTTTGTTTTTGTTTTTTTTATAGTGAACCAAATTCTACGATATAACCACACGCCTAAACGAAAAGACGACCATCCACAACCCTTTTAAATTGAAGATACTCGTACAGCAATACTACCAGCGTATTTCTCTTGCCGGATGATGTAAAGTTGCTTTGTTCGGAGGTCAAATTTGAGATTTTTGACACTTGTTTACCTGTGTTCATTAATATTTTTTGTTTCTCATTTTTTATAACAGCTCGTAATTTGTACCAATTTGGTAACATGGTGAACTGCATGACAAACAGAAGTCGCTTTAGTTACAGTGACTATAGCTGCTGGTGTGGTGCGGAAGGAAAGGGAGAGCCTGTGGATGAGGTAGACAAGTATGTAAAAATAAGAAACACACGAATAAGTGGTATCGAGTTATAATCCCACCATGGAATATAAATGAAGTGTATCTTTATCAAAGTTGCTCTTATTTAGAGAGAGAGAGAGAGAAAAAAGGTCAATCACATTCAGAAGGCTTTACCTATGTTCTGTTATGGTACGAAAATCCCATGACGCCATCAAAGTAAGAAGCCATCAAAGCATCATCCAGAGATGGGAATTTTTGGTAATTTTTTTCCAGATCACGATCCGTATTTTTCGTCCAGCGTACTTCACGACACAAACTGAGGGAAGGATCGAATTGATAATAAGCCCCGCATTTTCCCTCAAAAGTATTAGACTCGCCAATTTTGGATTTATTCAAAGTAAAGAAGAGAATACATTTGTGGTAATTACATAATAAATAGTATCAAAGGATTTTACGTTTAGCTAATCGCAAATTTAGATTGTACACCTAAGCTCTGATCACTCTTGGTTGGAGGGAAATAACATGCTAAGTGACTTTTTATTGTGTTATTCTCTATTACTTATGTTTTCTAGATGCTGCAAGATTCATGATAAATGTTACGACTCTCATATGTACACCAAATGTTTTTACCCATTTCATGTTTATACCGTGTATTATCAATACCAAAGATGCAGGCAGTGTGGTATGTAACTGAATAAAAAAAACTCAGATGATATACTTTGGTGTGCCATGAGGTGAAAAATCATAATTTTCCAAACAAAAAGCGACGTGTGGGCTGAGCTTATCAGCGCTTTTTCCACGTTTCGAAGTCAATTTCTCCGTCAATATAAACTCAAAGAGCTAAAAGTGTCGTTTATTGCCTCGTTTCATGAGCTCTTTGAAATGTTTTGACTCAATTTCTATGTAGAATGTTGCTTCCTTTAAGGAAAGTCAGATGCTTATGAGGAAAGTGTAAACAGTGACGTCAATGTAGATTCGCTTATTTATCTATTGATTTTAATTTTTCCTTATTTATTTCCTTATTTATTTATTTTTATTCATTTCAGATCCCATCTCCTACTACCCCTCGTGGGAAGACAAAGTTGACGTAGAATGTAAAAATGCCGTGTGTGAATGTGACAGCGCCGCCGCACTATGTTTCAGCCAGGCCGTTTACAATGCATCTTATTACAACTATGATACTTCAAAATGTTAAAAGATATAAAGAATATTCGTTCTGAATAAGTAATTCTGAATCAAATTAGACATGAGTTTTATCTCGGATTCGGTAACTGAAGCGCTGGATTAATTCAGTTTTTTGCGGATTACATGCGTTTTGTAAACTGAAATGACAGGAAATAAAGATAAATGATAAAATATTAATAAACTTTAAACACAACTGGCAACTACAACATCTAGTTCACCCCGTCTTCTCAGAGGCTTTCAAATTGGTTTCCAGAAGAAGTTGAACTGAGCCGGGCGTGAAATTCAGAGGTACTCACCTGATGTAACTTCACCCTAACCCACAAGATGAGTTTTTTACAGGGATTAGCTACTAGTTGGGCAGAATGCATGTGTTCGCAGCTGTGTCTCTCAATCGTCCAAGCCCCTCCACCCACGTGAGGGTGACGATTTTACCCAACGACCACATCCAACCGCCCAATTGAGAGGTGTAGTGTGTTGCAAATTTAGAGTACATATAGTTGTGGGCAGTCGTCGGGGAAAGAAAAATTGCGACATTTTCTTCTGCGAGATAGAACGGATATAACTTTGCCAACAGCCAGAAATTGTTCTAGTAATGACCATTTGTTGGTTATTTCTATGCCATGATCGTCCCTGATAATGCTCAGAAATCAATCAGTTAATCAATCAATCAATCAATCAATCAATCAATCAATCAATCAATCAATCAATCAGTCAGTCAGTCAGTTAATCATTCATTCATTTATCCATTCAGTCAGTCAGTCAGTCAGTCAGTCAGTCAGATAGTAATTCATTCTGTCACACTGTTACTCTATCAAGTAAACGCGAAAGCAAGAATGAAAGCGATCAGTTATTTATCCAAGATATCGTCATTTAGCTACAACGCTCGTTCAGTACACTCATGCGAAACACGGTGTGCCATTTCAGCATATGAGATTTCACTCTTACAATGAAGATAAATTTGAGGGCAACAGAAACAATATCATTTTCCGCATCACTCTGGTTATTAATAAGGTAACAATTCCCCCTTCCTTCCCTTCCTTTTTTGTCAATAATTTAAACTTGAAGGTGTGAAGTAGTATAATCTGAAACTGACATTGTAGCAGGTTCGAACACGCTGGTGATTAAAAGTTAGGATGAGAGGGCTACAACGATCGATTAGCAGTGAAGAAACATGTACCGGCCTAATGAGCCACAATTAAGTATCTAAGACAATATTTCATACACTTTTCAGCATAGTAATTTATTGTAGTTTATACTTCGACTATGGAATGAGAACTCGTTCCGTTTAAAGCATCTTGCTGCCGTACCATCGCATTCACAAAGAGCTTTCTGACAAGCAGTGTTAAGACGCCTTGAAGCTGCAAGGAAAAATAAAAAGTAAAATTATTCCAAACTATTTTTTAATAGATTAATATAATAAACTTTTCCTACACTTATTACTCTCTTATTTTGGAGATGATACATTGGTAATTGACTAATGCATGAATTTACTTTTGTCCGAAACTACAATGACTCATGGGAAGAAAGTAGATAAAGGTTCTTTGTGTTAGGAAAAAGTGTGGTGGGAAGATAACACTGAAATGAAATGAACAAATCAATCAATCAATCAATCAATCAATCATTTCAATCTTTTAATCAATCAATCAATCAATCAATCAATTAATCAATCAATTAATCAATCAATTAATCAATCAATTAATCAGTCAGTCAGTCAGTTAGTCAGTCAAGAGAAATCATGAAACATGCCATAGAAGACAATAAAAATCATTTCATGTACTGTGGAAAGTCTATGCAACAGAAATCACCTTCCGTGTGCACCTCTTTTCTTGGTTAACTTGTATTTTTATTTCCCAAGTATGACTTACCACAGTTCGAATAGCCGTTTCTCCAGTAGAAGATTAGATAGACGGCACTTTTAAGGGAACCGCAAATTTTGTTGTCGATGATGGCATCATAACATTGGTCATGGTCAGGACAACACCTGCAAAGAAGGTATTTTTAAAAGAAGCATTTTGACCAAGAGCTAAGATTTGTCTTGAGCCAGATTACTAAGCATATTAATCTTGTTCTCTTAGGCCGGCAACCCAAAGAAACGAAGACTCGAGCGCTAGGGAACGGAACAAACTGATTATGATATAGTCGCCTTTTTTGTAGTTCAATTATACCTTATAGTGTTTCTAATTTCAATAGCTTTCAATGAAGCCTTAAATACCTTTTTGCCTTAAAGTCCGTTTTAAAAGCATTAAAAGAAGTTCGATATGCAAAGAATTCGTCCTTGTATATTATGGCCACCAAACATTTCAACAACAATTTCAAAGGGACAGAAGTCTCTTTCTTATAGGTTCACATTTTCGTTGTATGTTTTTTTTACGCACAGAAAGATGCCTTAGTTATACCTATCAATTCCGTCCAAAGGCTCTCCTCTTCCTCCTATTCCACAGTGGCAGCCGTAGCTGTGGAATTAAATTAAAATTAAATGAAATTCTTTTCCTTGCTTCACAAAGTGTTTGATTATACAACGCATGGCATATAAAGTCTAGAAGTTGGACACCTGCTATTGGCAGGACACGTGTAAGGATTTAATCTACTCTGAATACACTCCGAGAATGACCTTTACTTCGCTAATAACAGCTTATAGTGGAGACAGTTCATGTGATACTTCAGTGAAGCATCAATAATCATTCCCACTTTAAAATCATTATTCCATTCTTGTTGAAAGGAAGAGTTTAGCAGTTAGTTTATTACATGTATCCATTCTGGTTCCCACCTTCTGCATATTCTGTTGCGTTCTAGACTCATTTTGTTTAAACTCTTTTTTGTGAAACCTGTTTTAGTGGATTAACACGCAGGGTCAGTTTGGATCGTTTTCATCGGCCGCGATTGCCGGGTGTCATCTAAACAGCCGTGAGGTTCAGGCATGAGCAACTACCAGAACGGTTATCCTCCCAAAGTCCTCTTGGTTTCAAGGTTCTCAGTGAAGTGCTATTAGAGGGCTATCGGTACTAAGTATATATTTGAATTCCCTTGACTTAATACTAGATGTATAACACAGGCAAGTTATAAAGTGCATGCATGTTAATAGAGGGTGATCTTCCTAATGCCAACTGGAATTAGCAGCGTGTTTCAAGCCAGTGAAAACAGAGGGTGATCAAAAATGTATTTTTCTATCCTTAATTTCTTTTTTTTTTTCTTAGATGTTAATCGTTCAAAACTAAAAATCATATCATTTGTGAACGCAGCTGTTAAAACTAACGTAAAATGTGTCAGAGGAAAATTAAACTGTCAGATTTGCATTTAATTATTTGACGGCACTTACCACGTGAGTGCAGCCTTCTAGAAAGAAAAACACGAGTGAGAATAGCCTTTTCAGTTCACGGTTAACTTTTCTCATTTGCATTACACCATAATCTAACATGAATGTGAAGCAATTTCGGGCTGTACGGCTGTTTCGAAAAAGGTGGTCGGAATAAAACGTAAAAGAGCTCGTGACAACCCCGAAAGTTAGTACAGTTGACTATGGGTAGAAGTAGAGAGCGGCTGAACGCCCTGAATATTTCATCAGATGTAAAAACATGGCGAACGTCATTTCTTAGGTTTTCTTTATCTTTAGGCTTTTGGAACCAAGGTACTTTCCGCCACGTTGACTTTTGGAAGATTTTTAAACTTTAAGTTATTTAGTAGTGAGAGAAAAAATTCTCTCATGAGTTTGAATATCTGATGTATCCTTGCTAATACTTAGCGTGCAAAAATACAAATTTGTAGATTTCCTTCAGTACGCAAAGTCCCAGTGAATACTACCATTCGGTCTTGTCGCGTAAGCTTGACACTTTCATCCGACAACCTTTCTCGAAACAGCTGTATATGTTTTGTAGTTTAAGCTCGAAATTGCCTCGCATCCACGTTGGATTATACATTGTAGTGCAAATGAGAAAAATTAATCGTGGAAAGGACGCTATTGTTTCATTTCATGAACAGAAATGCATGTCAAGTAAAAATATACACACCTAGCTTTTATGAAAGGGAGTGATTCCAGTCCTTTCTTAAAAAGGTTATTGGAATATACTTTTACGGGTGAAAAAAGCCTCTCGGAATTAAATATAATTAAAATTACTATATGTTAATGAAGATTCCTTTTAGTGAACGAACGAACACGAAGTTGTTGCTTCTTTTTGTTTTGTTCTTGGAGTGGGAAAACCAGCAATCGTAAGTATATATATTTTTTTTTATCTGGGAAGACGAATTAAGTCATATCCTCCGTACTCCTTATGTTTCTGGACTCACGTGTAAAGAACTGCACCAAATTTCGCTGAACAGTAGAGATAGATGTATATCGATACTGTTAGCATTGTTTGGTTGCAAGACGGAATCTACTAACTTGTTATATCCTCGTTTTTTCTGATGTATTACACAGGCAGGTTCCAGACACCATCGAAAAGAAATGTAGCCCAGTTTGGTGCTATGGTCTTGTGTGAAACTAAGAGAAATCCGCTTGAATATAACGGCTATGGTTGCTGGAGAGGATTTGGAGGAAAAGGGACGCCTGTGGACGAGATTGATCGGTAATCAAAGAACATTAGTTTAAACGTTAATATTTATATCTTAAAAAAAAAACTGTTTAAGGTTGGTAACCCTTCGCGTGATGGGAATGAAATGATACTTAACAGAAATTTTCGATGCATGCTAGTCGCAGCTCTGATCGTGAGGTAGAAAAAAAAGCAAACCTAAAGCATTTTGACTGAATAATTACGGTACATCCCGTTAATGTTTTCCTGTTTGTTCGTAGATGTTGTTATGTCCACGACCAATGTTATAGTAAGATATCAAAGAAAAAGATTTGTCCCTTCAAAGAAGCAGTGTATACTACTGTCTACATTGTAAAAGGTTGCTCGCGTCGTGGTAAGTCATACTAGCAGCGGGTGAAACTAGGATCTTTTTGTTCATTATGTTCTTAAAAACAACGACAGAAAACCACTTGATCTGTCTGCTGCGGCTTTCTACTGCAAACAAACTTAAGTTCGCCAGTAATCGTCAAGTAGAGGCTAGGAATTCCTGAAAAAGGACTGTTGTTAGTGATTAACATTTCGATACCTGAGCGTTAGTCTTCCTAGATTCAAAAGAAAAGTCGTTCGTCAGTTGATTCTGTTAAAATTTTCTCCGTTGCAGTGCTTTTGTTTACTATTTTTTCTAATATTTTTGTCCATGCTACTCTCCCACAGCTGAGAGATCCATCATTGGGAACTCTCGTTGTCAGAAGAAACTGTGTGAATATGCATACAGTTCTTTGTTTAACTAAACAATAACCAAAGCAATAGAACTCCTTTGAGACTTATCCGCTTTCAATAACTATAAAATTCTCATTCTTTTATGACTTAAATAATTTTTCGGTTTTTAGGTCTAAAACACGGCGGAAAAACGAGACGATTTCTTAAAGAACTTTTAGGTTAGAAACACGAAAAAACGAAAGCGAAATATCATTTTTTGGCTCATTTATCGTATTTTTAAATTGAGCGCAGGCTTAAAACTGCTTTGAAAATAGCGAATTAGGTCCATACGCCAGTTAAAAATGCTTTAAAAATAGCGATTTAGGCCTGAGTAAAGGCGGCTTGCAGTTACTTATAAAATGTTGTTAAAGTCAGCGAGTATTTTGATTCTGTAAATTAAAGACAATCCAGTGCAACAAACCACTTCCTTACCTCAGTTGTGTGGTGTCGTATTTACTTGCGAGAAGCCGTAGCCTCGGCCATTACGCTTTCATTTGCTACGGTGTATTTTGTTTCTTTCAACGCTGAGGGAACACGAACAGTCATCTAGCGATGAAATTCCTGAAGTTCGTTGTATCCATCCTTCTCGAACCCATGTTACAGAAAAAGCGAGCAGGTTCGATGTTCGCTGTATCAGTATCGACTATATTTCTTTCGTGAACAGCTGATATAAATTAAAGGAAGGCACCTCCACTTGCACAGTACGAGGACAAACAGTCAAAGACGTCGTAGCCTTTAACTGAGGTAGAGCATTCAACAATCGAGAAGAAGATTACGGAGACGTTTTTACAGCGGTGAAAAGGGCTTTGACGTAAACGATAGTGTAAGCCTACTCTTGTAGAATCGGGTCAGTTTTCAAGTGAACGCGACCAAGAAGAAACGAAACCCACCAGGGACCCAGTTGATTAAAAATCCAATGCATGTTTTCGTGCAGCGTAAAACATGCTTAAACAGAAGAATAAGTGATTGTGATGTAAAGTTTTCGGAACGTTAACGAGTCAAGTAAAATAAAAATGATTTTTTGAGCCACGTAGTGTAGTGTTGTAGAAGAGAGACTGGTAAGCGAGAGGTATGCGAAAGGTAAGGGGTTCGAGACCAGCATGAGTACAAAGAAAAAAAGAAAAAAAAAAATGCGTAAGGACCCTGGGTAGTATGGCGGAGAAAAAGAGAGAAGAATGGAGTTTAGCCAAGAAGAGAATCGGCAAAAAGACAGCGCACAATGAAATCCTCTTTTATTCATACAGCAAGTAGTAATTATCGGCCATGTATATATTCAATGCCTTAGGGAGTTGCTTTTGCCTTCAAATACAATAGAGTACATACATAATTAATCATTCTGCATACATAATAAATGTATAGGGTAGCCTGCGAAAATAGCCGTCCTTCTTCGCTCCCCGCCCGAGTGGCGTTTCGCCGGGAGCGAAGAAGGACGGCTGTTTTCGTAGGCTATGTATGGGGCTATATGGAAAAATTTCCCTCTTTTCCCTAAACGTGTGTCACAAATATTTCTCTGTTTATATTTATAATACTAACTAATGTAAACCCTGTAAACAGTGCACAATAAAGAAGTCGAAGTTGATGTTAAAGTTTTCAGAAGATTAAACTTTCAGATTAACACTGAATTATCTGGCACACTCGTCACTTGATCGCGGTCTTCTGGAACTGACAAAACTACGGGTGCGAATTGCTTCATTTCATGCGACACACACAGAAATACGTGTCAAGTCAATATATGAACACACCTGGCATAAATTAAAGGAAGTGGTTTCTAGACCTTACCTAAGAGAGTTTATTGCAATAACTGGAATCGCAGTAACTGTTTGTTCAATATGCATGAAAGTGTCGTTGTCTTTGTTTATTACCGATGAGAAAAGAAGCACCAGATCTAGAATATAGCTTATACTAGCGGCCAGTTTGACTCTCAATTTAACTCACAATCCTCTCGAAATTGAATGTAATGAATATAATCCAAATTACTACATGTGGATAAAGATTCCTTCTAATGAAAGAACGAGCACGACGTAGCCTTTTTTGGTCTTAGAGTGGAGATAGCCACCAAACTTTACGTTTGTTTGTTTTTTTTTTGGGGGGGAGGGGGTAACGACTGGTATAAGATATGTCAAGTCGTTCACCTCTTCTGTACTCCTTTTGTTAGCGGACTCACTTGTGTAGAATTACAGAATCACAATAAATTTCGCTAAAAAAAATTAAAGGTATCTTGATACTGTCAACATATCTGGCTGCAATATGGAATTTACTGACTGGTTATATCCCCTTTTTGTGATATATTACGCAGGCAGGTTCCAGAAGCCGATGAAAAGAAATTTAGGCCAGTTTGGTGCTATGGTCTTGTGTGAAACCAAAAGAAATCCGCTTCATTATATCGGCTATGGCTGCTGGTGTGGATTTGGAGGAAAAGGAACGCCTGTGGACGAGATTGATCAGTAACTAAAGCACATTATGTCAAACGTTAATTTTTATATATTTCTAAAGAACTGGGTCAAGTTATTCGAAAGCTGGTTAGCGCTAACCCAGGATTAAAAGTTGAGCAAAGTATTAATTAATTTTCTTTTATAAATATGTATTTCACTTCTTTTGTGTTGTGTAGTTTGAGATTACTCAAACCTCACCGAGAAGTTGCAAAACTGAAGTAATTAATCTCGCTAATCCTGAGTTAAAAGATTAGTTACCATTCGAATGGTGGGAATAAATGATAACAAATAGGTATTTTCGATTCGATGCTTGTTATTCGCAGTCCCTTACCTTGATAGTAAGGTAGAAATGCAGTAAATCGAAAACACTTTGACTAATCATGGTGCATTCTTTGCTTCTAATTTCCGGATAGCGGGAAAATAAAGTATTTCATCATCGTTTCTACAATACCGTTAATGTTTTCCTGTTTGTTCGTAGATGTTGTTATATACATGACCGATGTTATGATAACATAACAGAGAAAGGCACTTGCCCCTTCGAAATAGGAGTTTACGCTAATGTCTACAAGAGAAAAGACTGCACTCGTTGTGGTAAGTCATACTAACATGAGGATGAACCTTAAACTAGGATATTTTGGCAGTTCATCATGGCCTTAAAAATAACGGTTGAAAGCTAGCTACTTGATCTGTTTGCCGTGGCTTTCTACTGTGAACAAACTTAAGTTCGCAAGTAATCGTGCGGCAGAGGTTAGGAATTCCTAAACAAGGACTGCTGTTAGTGATTAACATTTCGATAACCGAGCGCTAGTCATCCTAGGGTCAACTGGAAAGTTGTTCGTCAGTCGATGGTTTTAAGCCTGTTCCGTTGCAGTTTTGTTTATTATTTTCCCTAATCTTGTGCTTCTCTCCAATAGCTGAGATATCTATCTTTGGGAACTCTCGTTGTGAGAAGGAGCTGTGTGAATGTGACGCAGCGGCAGCACGATGCTTCAAGAAGTACGACTCCAAGTTCCAAGATCGATACAAGAACTACGATAAATCATCATGCTAGACACAAAGAAATACAGTGATATATGTTGTTGACAAAAATAAAAGATGATTGTTCTGGAAGATCAAATAAAATAATCATTTGGGATTGCACGGATCAAGATTTGGTTAGATATTGTGGTAAAGCACTTTTCTTTAGTGTTAGAGGAGATAGATATGTTAAATTTCCAATGACTTTCTCATCTTGTCATCGATTATCCCTTTTGCAAGTCAAATAAATGAACAGGGGCTTACCTGTTTATGGATCCACGACCGAACTCAAAATGTATCAAGTATACTAGACCCAGTTGTAAGCTAACAAACTTTACTGTATTGCCAGGGGAGGTTCGACAGGAATCCCAAGGTACACTGCGGAGTCTCAATTCTGTGATGAAAATTTGTTTCGCTTTTTCGTGAAAACTGTTTGGATCTTCCTGCAAAACTCATGGCAGCTTCTTCATTAATTCGCTTGTGACATCATCATACAAGCGTTTTCAATTTCTCTATTTTTTCGTGGCGTACCTGTAAACTAGCTTTTTAGCTAAGCGTATCGACCACGTTAAATATATTGATTGATTGATTGATTGAATTAACTGTTTCGCATCAAACTCGTTTTTAACGTGGTTGCGCCACTATGATGAACATTTTATTTCTTTTTCATTGCTTCCGGGATAGCATTGTCATTACTTCTTATATCTATGCGTTGGAAAGCTCGCCAATGTCAGTTGTTTTCTTTCATTTCTACGACGGAACGCTTCTAAGCACGATAAAATAAGCTCAGCTACTCTTTTCACTCTCTTTCGCCATATTTGGTCTCACTCAGGCATAATAATAGGAACAGAAATCTAGTTACAAATGCATGCGTGAGATTGACTAATTTATGACAAACGGAGTCGAGAAGAGTGGATTCAGGTTATGAAGAAATAACTGGGCTGAATTTGAAATTAAAACAGAAAACCTTTGTCCGTATAATTTGTTGAAATATGTTATTTTCCATCTTATTGCGCTATTACATCAACCTTTCTTCGAACAAGCGATTGACAATTCGGAAGGCTTTTTCACAGTTTGTGAGAACTGATACAAAATGGCTTGCTAGAGAGTGGCGTCTGTATTAATCCAGTGATAGTAAGTAAAAAGAGTCTGTATGTCACTATTTTCTTCTATACTCGCTATGAGGATTGTGCACACTGCTATGCTGTTTGAACAGTATCAACTGTGACCTTTTTGGTGTAATCTTTTGAAATGATTAGTGACAAAAAATTGTGGGTTTTTTGCTACTGCGTAAACGCGGTGTGGCAGTACAGTTAGAATGCGGAATATCGAGAATAAGCATAACTCAAAAAAACAATTATAATGAAGAGTTGGGTAAGTTCTGTTTTAAGTCCTTTCGTGGAAAAAGACGTCGTGGCTACAAGTTTGGAAAAACGACAGCCAGTGGCCCTGTTTAAAGCAGAAATAATGAACGTTTTGCTTTCCTTATTTTAGGGTATTTTGCTTTCAACCATTGGGGAAGATCAAAAATTTATTATTTAAATATCAGAGACGTAATCTGCAATCTCGGTATCAACCTTCAAACAGCACATTTCCAAGTTTGATTAGCTTTAAATGGGTGTCAATATAAAAACTGCCTGGCAAATACTTTTCAATCTTATTTACTCAGCTGAAATGGTAAAATCTTGTTAATTATTCAGTTTGAACTTACTCTTCATATATACATGTTCTTATTACTATCATTGTCAGGAACTTTTAACATGAGCCTTTGGCTCGAGAGATTGCCCAAGCACTCCCCGTGTTATTGACATTAAATAAATTACTTACGTAGTTACTTACTTACTTGCTTACTTACTTGATATACATTGCCAACCTTAAGACTGATCAACGCTTGTTAGTTTCCAAGGTCATTCTTTTTGGTCTAAGCAGCTGCGTCAATGTTACGTCATTGAATAATTAAAGTGGATCTACCCACTTTCAAAAATTCCATTTATACATTCTCTTAGGCAACTTAACGTTTTCTCGGTATTATTTTGCCTCTGGTAGAAAGCTGTTTGGAGATCGCGCCATAAATATCAACAGGAAACTATTTTCACTATTAGTCAAGAATGAAAAAAAAGGTCAAAAATGCACCGTCAGTGTGAATTCGAACATAGATTGACTTGTCGGGATTTTCAAAAGGTTATTGATTACTTTTTATAATAAATTGCTCAAACAAAAATTCTTTACAAATGAACCACGAACCACGCTGTTGTGATAATCGTGATTAATTCGCTATAGTCGTTGGTGTCGATTACCACTGAAAATGCTTGTGAGATTAATCATTATTGTGTTGGCGCTAATCAAGGGTGGAGACTCTTCTACTTCAGAAGGAAAGGTACAGAAATGCATATATATAAACAGAAGCATATCACATCGTCGAGGTGATATGCTTCTGATATATATCACTACTATTTTAGATATTCCATGCTTTGTATGCTATATAATATGTTAACAAATCGCGAAACAAAATCTGGTATATTCTAAATGAAACCGCAGTGACCTTATGCGTCCCACGGCGCAAGGAGACGGTTGATAGTGAGCTATCATTAATCCCTTTCGCATTCTAAGTCACGGGAATAGAAAAGGACCGATCAAGAGTGTATAAGGACAAGACAAGATCAAAGATTACTCAACGACCATGAGTTATGCAAGTAGATATAGGAAAAATCGTGTGCTTGAATTGCCGCAGAAGGGTTTAAAGATACGAGAGATCATTGCAGTGCGGTGTGCGCGAATTAGGCAGTTGCCGAAAAAGGTAATGATGATGCAAGATATCTCATGTCTAAATCTTTTTCCTACAGTTTAGTTATATGTTATTTCATAGTCGCTCTTTTGTAGGGCTAAAGAATGCAACATTTAATGACACGAACAGTTCTGCATTTTGTCCTGCATCTATTATTTCATACACGTTATATCTGAGGCGTGTCACCTTGAATTAAACGAATAAAAAAAAAACAAATGAAATGGCGAATTTAGGACGGATATTAGATTTAACATAAGATTTCAAGACAGAATCATAAGAGAAACGCTGAATTACTATTATGGAAATTAGGATTTTGGCCTTGTCCGTTTCTACCGTATATGATAATTGTAAATTTAACTGCATTTTCTATTTGCCGTTTTCTTTCGGAACACCACAATACTTTGAACATCAGGAAGCTTTTAGTGCCATATACGCCGACCGTGATGAACAAGGTATGATATGCACATTTATAACTGAATATATAATCTAGACAAATCGTATAAACTTCATGAAATAACATGACTATTAAAATGTCCGTAATTTCAGAGAACGGCATGCCAAACCCCTTTTTATTTCCTTTCTTCGTGAGACCATAACCTATCATCACGTGATGCATCATGATGTCACAAAAGAGGTGCACTATCATACATTATGATTTACAGATTCTAAACTTTCTGGAAAGCATCCTTCGTACTGTTTTGTGTCATCTGTTCGAAACATTGACAACTTTCAATTAAGCCGTAATCGCTGGTTCTTAAAATACCCAAAAAAGTGATTTTAATGGTACAAATTCAGAACAGGATTTCCTTCCTACACATTTTTAATATACCTTTTTTTCAATTCAGCAGCAATCTTTCCTGAGTTGTTACCGAATAGACGTACTCTAGAAAGTTATTTATGGCTTGGTCATCATACGCTCTTGTAAAATGTTTATTAGCAGGCAGACCACTTTCGAAACGAAATTCACTCCAGTTTGGTGCCATGATTTGGTGTAAAGTTGGAAGAAACCCGCTAGACTACAATGGATACGGCTGCTGGTGTGGAGTAGGAGGAAAAGGAGAGCCTGTGGACGAAATTGATCGGTAACTTAAGCCTCTACATGTTCACATTTTCTGTAGAGTATAATGTATGGGAAATGTATACCTGCACATACGACAGGGTGCATTGTCAGAGCTAAGCGTTTTTTTTAAACTTAATTTACGGTACTTATATTCTTTGGGTGGGTGACTAGATAAGCTAGGCACGTGGATAAGATCTGTGTTTCCAAAAGTATCCGAAATTAAAGGGACCTTAAGATTTAATGCCACCCAGGCTCTGGTCCTGTGGAAGACTAGTTTTGTTTGTCAGAATATTGGCTATTACATCTACCCTAGTATATTTCTGTAGTACCAGCTTTGCTTTTCCGACAGAGGCATCTTACTCCGCAAAGCTCTAATTTAGCAAAAATTATTGGGTAGTCGATAGAATAGGAGCAGTCTCTTTCTTATCGATATCCCTGATGTTTTTCTGCATAACGAATAAATTTCTGCTCGTGCGCACATTGAGGAAAGAGCTGAGGACAACTAGTAGAAGCGAAAACAGTACTGCATGCTTTGGAATGCCTCTGTTATTGTAGCTGTCAAGACAATTGGCCATTTCCGAGTTGCATTTTGCCTCCTTGTCAAAACGAATCTAAGTGCTAAACCGTTCATATGTAAACGAGTTGAGCGTACGGGTTCGTTTTCATGCAAATCAAACTCATTTCCGTAAGACCCGTTTTGAAACAGAGGCACAAGGAAACTCGGAAATGGCCTATTGGTTGAATAGTGCAAAAAAGATAGGTTCTTATACAAAGAAGTTCCTTCACGAGATACCTTATTTTGAGCTCATGAATAATCGGTATTTCCAGGAGCATTTTACCTTGGCAGAAACCTCAGCTGTAAAATTAGTTTTACTTAGCAAGTGGTGATATGTCGAGCTCAAATTTTAAAAGAGCGATTGACTCTATGGAAAAAAACACGAGGATGACTTATGGTTTCATACGCCCCCCCCCCCCCCCCCCCCCCCCCCCCCC